TGTGGGTGTGGGTGTGGGTGTGGATGCTAAGAAAAAGTTATATCCACACCCACACCCGCAAAAATAACTGAAACTTACTTAAAGTATCATTGAATTCTTCCAAGTCCTTGGGATTCTTGAGCTCTTCTTGTGCTTTATCAATACTGTCGATCTGCAATTTCCAGCTAAAATCATTTTCTTCAATTGTTTTATAATCGATTGAGAGATGAGCAATATCAAACTGTGATGTTGTGCCTACCCATTCTATCTGCATGTGAACTACTTGTGAATCACAAGAATAGCTTAGACATACGGATGGTTCGTTCTTTACAGATTCACCTGTATTTCCTATAATTACACAAAAACAAATAATGTTTATCAATTTATAGATTTTGTTTACCTTGTGAATCATCGAAACTTTGTTTACCTGAATTGGCGCCACTAACCAAAAATGTGACAGGTGGTATGATAATCAAATTTTTTAATTGTTGACAGAAATATAAACATTGAAGAGGTTGACCTTTCAGAAGATTTTGGATGTTGATATTTTTATCCTTTAAAAGATGAAATGCATCGCTAATCAAATCGATTTCCGCCGTCACGCTGCCACAAACCAATAAATTTAGATTTGTTAAATCGTCAATTGTTAATTTTTTTTAGTATTTGGTGGCGGATTATTAAAAATTTTCATTGTCATATCATCTGTTAAATCTTCAAGTAGTTCTATTAATGTTGATGATGGTGTGAATGACGGGGGTTCGTAAGTTTTGGACCGATGAGCTAAGTAAACGAATGGTTGTTCACCTATATTTCCCGTTATAAGAAATCCTCTACAAGTTGATAATGCATCCGTGAAGATTGTTGTATAACAAATCTTGGAACGGTTAAAATCAACTTTTAGATTATTTGGATCATCGATTTCCACGAATGGGACTCTATTGTAATAAGCTATTCGACAAGCTTCACGTACAGTTGATATTATTTGATCAGAAAATGATTCATGTTTGATAACAACTTTTGATTTATCTATAACAAGATGAGGTTTTTGTTGAATATATAATGTCGAAGATTCTTCAGTTGTAATACCCATTGTTTCTATTAAACTTTCGATTTCATCAACAGGATTTATTGTTGCTGTGGTCGCTGCAGAATCAGTATTATTAATTCCTGATGTTTCTTGTTGTTCATCATTATTTTCATTATTAACAATTTTATTTATTGTCCATCTTTCAATAACAAACGCAACACCCTCGACTGGATCGGCACATAAAAATCCATTAGCTGTTGCTAATTGAAATTCTTTAATAATACTTAAATCATAATCATCTTTTGTAAATGTTGTGTTTGTATCCATTTTTGTTTGATTATTTAAAGCAATACTCCAAATAGATAAACCATGTTGTTTATAAATACTGTTTTGAATACGATTAATCAATAGATTAGATCCACATTTGTCTGGACCAAATGACCATATTTCATCAACTGTATTTGAATTCCATATATTTCCATTTGCAGCAATAAATTTTTCATTTAATCGTTCTCGTAATTGTCGAATTTGATCAAGTGTTTGATCATTTAATTGAACAGTTACTTTTCTATTATCACGTCCTTGAGCTTCTTCAATGACTGCAAGTAATTTACTATGTATTTTAAGTAAAAGAGCGATGTCATCAGATAATTCTACTGCTCGAATTTGAAATGTACATTGACCATTTGGAGTACTTAATTCAACTAAACCATTCCCTAATTAAACGAAACAATTTAAATCTTATTTTTTATTAATATATAAAATTACCTAATAAACATGGTAGTCTTTCTTCAATTGTTTTATTTGATTCGAATTGTTGTTGTTGATTTGCTAATGATTCATTAAGAAAATCAACTTTTGGTGGTGCAATAATTGTTTCATGAAATGGAATAATTGGTGTTGATACATTTATTTCAACACGAGCATATCTATATAAACATGAAAATGAATTTATTTTGAAGGTAAAATAATTTATACATTTTTGTAAGATCGTCGATACATCGTTGTAAATGTTCTTCACCAACTGTTGAAAGAATATATTCACTGGTATCTTTTAATGTACATTTAACAAATGGA